TTTTTTTTTTTTTTTTTTTTTTCTCAGCCCTGAAATGACCCCGGGGGATACGGCGGGTCCCCCGGGACCAGTCTTTTGGGGGATGGTGGTGTCCCCCCCCAACCCCACGGCAGGCTGCCACAGTGCTCTGTGATGCTCCCCGTGGATTGTCCCCCCTCTCCCCGCCAGCTGGCCGAGGCTGCAGGGGTGGCTTTGCCGGCAGCGCGGTGGCAACCGTTCCCTGCTGCGGATAAACTTCCGAGGAGCTGTCGGGGGAGCCGCACGGTGAGCTTAAACCTGGCATTTTCTCCCTAATCGGCGTCAGATTTTAGGGTGCAAACGTGCTTGGAGCAGGGAGGGAGCCTCCCCCAACCTCTGTGCCGGGTGGCAAAGAGGACGGGTGGGCAGTTTTGGGGACGGTGTCTCTAGAAAGAGGGGGGAGCGGTGTCCCTGAGAGGGATTGCTGGAGGGACGGATCCGTCCCCGTCTCCCATCGCTGCTCGGGCGGGTGGCACATGGAGCAGGCACCTTATAAGCAGCGATGGCCCCACGGCCACCTCCCTCGGACCCTCTTCTGGGGGTCCCCTCTGGTTGCAGGCACTGTTGTGTCACGCCATGGGTGGCATAACCCCCCGGCTAGCCAGGGGGGCCTGGGTGGCAAATGGCTCCAAGCCCAGGCGTTTCTCCGTGGTTTCTGCAGAGTTCACGGTTACATTTTTCCCGGCGCTGGCTTTGGGGTCCCCAGCCCTGGGGAGGTGGCACCTGGGCTCAAGCCCCTTTCTAGGCTCTTCTGCGCCCCTTGGCTGAGGGCCAGCCTGGTTGGAGTTTGACGGCGCAGGGTAAGGGCTGCGTGGATGAGAAGGGAATAAAACCAGCCCAGCTTGCACCCGTCCTTCCTGCTGCCAACTCGCTCCAGGAGCTGGGAATTGTCCTTCCCAGTGTGGGGACACCAGCTGGCGAAGGAACCATGCCTCTGTCCCACTGTGGGAATTGTCCTTCCCAGTGTGGGGACACCGGCTGGCGAAGGACCCATGTCTCTGTCCCACTGTCCCAGCTCATGAGCTTGTCATCCCATCTCTCCTGCACCCGGCGTGCCTGAAATGGAGGAAGGGAGAGAAAAAATTGTCATTAAGGGGCTCAGAGAGCTCCTGAGCCCCAGGGAGTGGGGTACGGGTGGGCACCCTGCCACCCCAGCCCCACTCCAGCTTCTGAGTTGGGGTAGGAGGCAGAAAGGTGGGAGTGGAGTGACAGGTGGCTGGGGGTGTCCTGGTGGTGCCCCCACATTTCTGGGTGACTGTAGGCCTGTCACATCGCTGAGATATGCCCTTCTTTCACCGTTCCTGGCTCGTTCCTAGCTCATTCCTAGCTTGTTCCCTTGTTCTTGTTTGGTCCTTTGCTTCCAGCTCGGTCCTTCAGTCCTATCTGGATCCTGGTTCCCAGTTCGATCCCTGGTTCCCAGCTCACTCCCTGGTTCCCAGCTTGCGGCGAGGCAGGGCTGCCGGTGGGCGATGTTTTTTTTTTTGCAAAAGCTCTTTCAGATTCCCCCGTTGGACTTTTGAAGCATCTGGTATCACTATCTCAGCGTCATTATGAATTAATTAACATTAATTCCCTGTTCTGGTATCTCCTATTGCCAGGAGCCTTAGCCTGGGCTTTTTCCGCCCTCCCTCACCCCCGAACAGAAATGGCCAGACCCAGGCTGTGCCTGGCAGAAAGCCAGAGAGAAGCCCCGTGTTTGGGGGGCCATGGGGTCCCCATCCTTGTCCCCATCCCGCACCGTGCCGGGGGATGCTTCCAGCCCCCCTGCCAGCCTGTTAGACGGGGTAGGGCTTGGTCCTGGGGGAGCCCTGGTGCTGCCAGCGCTGCCTGCCCGCTCACCGTGCCACCTGTATGGGACATGGGTGTTTCGTGGGTGGGTGACTCCGCTGTGCCATCCCTCACCTCTGCTTCCCCACAGGGCTGTGGGGCAGGTGATGCTGGGCCTGTTCCACGGGGGAATGGATTTCCCTTTTAGCTCTGGAAAGCCCTGATCCTAGCTCCCCAGCCTGTGCTGGAGGCACCAGGGATGATCTCCTCGGGGATGTTGACCCAGGGATGTTAATATCAGGGATGCTGTTCCTAAGAATGCTAAGGATCTCAAGGAGGTTGACCACAGGGATGCTGTCCTAGGGATGCTAATGCTCAGCGTGCTGTCCCTAGGGATGCTGACCCCAGGGATGCTGACCCTCTAGAGGTGTGGGGATGGGGATATAGACATAGCAGGTGGGTGCAGGCTGGGAAAGAGGACAGGATCCACTGCCCCAGCTGCGTTTATCCTGCTCCGTGAGTCACCCCGAGGGAGACACAACCCAGGAGTCACACAGCCTGGCCACCCGGCTCCATCCTATTGCTCTCCCTGGGACAGGGGAGCCCGGGTGAAGTCGTGGCCGAGGGCTGCAGAAGGACTCAGTGGGATGTGGGTGCAGCACCCACCGCCTCCCATCCCCATCCCAGCCCATCGCCTGCCCCACTCCCTGCCCCACAGCGGCACAACCCTTCTGCACACACCTGTCCCCCCCCACTGCTGTCCCCTGCCACCACCCTGTGCCCCATGGCAGGGCCACAGCAACCCCCAGGGCCACCCCAACCCTCCCCTGCACCCTTTGCAGCGTGGGCTGAGTCGGTGGGGGTTCTCCCCGTTCTCTTGTGAGCCTGGGGGTGAGGCAGGGTGGGGGTGGCAGCCCCCGGGTGGGCTGGGGGACAACCCTGGTGTCCTACATCCCTGGATCCCAGCTCGGGCTTACATAACGGCCGTGCTGCAGTCTGCTCTGCTCAGCCGCCACTGCCACCGGCAGAGCTGCAGCGCGGAGCCCATCTCCCTGGATATTGGCTTTTTGGGGAGAGGGGGGGGAGGAAGAGAGA